CCCCCCGCCTGCCTGCCTGCCTGCACCACCTTCCACCCAGATCGTCTCTAAAGGGAGTTCTTGGTTTCCTCCGATTTCTTATGAACCCAGGATGGGCAGCAAGGAAGATGCGGGCAAGGGGTGTCCGGCGGCCGGCGGCGTCTCCAGCTTCACCATTCAGTCTATCCTGGGCGGGGGCCCCTCGGAGGCGCCACGAGAGCCCGCCGGCTGGCCAGCTAGGAAGCGCAGCCTGTCCGTGTCCTCGGAGGAGGAGGAGCCGGACGACGGCTGGAAGGCATCCGCTTGCTTCTGCCCAGACCCGCACGGCCCCAAGGAGCCCGGCCCCAAGCACCACCCCCCCATCCCCTTTCCTTGCCTGGGTAAGGATCGCAACGCCGCCCGGTCGGCCGCGAACAAGCTCTAGGGGAGGGAACCTGTGCCGGAGCTCTCGCGCGGGCCCCCCTCGGCCAGAGCTGCGGCAGCCCGGGGTCCGCGTCCTAGGGGAGGGGACGCGCGTGCGGTGCTGCCTCCTCGGCCAGGCGGGCGCTCGGGAGGAGACCGGGAACGCAGACCTTGAGTGGCGCGGGCTTGGGGAAGGCTGGGTTAGGGGAGAGAGTACCAGAGCGGGTTGGGCACAGGGCAGGCCGCACACACGGCTCTGCCCTCAACATCCCTTATGCACATCTGATACTTTCCGAACATGAGGTCTGGAAGTCGGGGCTGAGCGGTGCATCTGTCTCTACCGCAACCTCTTTCGGTGTCTTCTCCGCAACCCCTCTCATTGTCTCTGTCTCTCAGTCTCTCCCTCTCTCCTCCTCCTTCTCGGAATGATTAGCACTCCAAGATGATTGACAATGGTGCCTTTCAGAGATGGTTCCTCTTTACAACATCTGACGAAGGGGAGCCCCGTGTTAGTCCTTAGCATGATTTCCGAACAAACGGCCTGTGAAATGATGCCACCCTATAAAGCTCAGGGAACTCTTCCAGCTCAGTTATTATAAGGCAAAATCACCTTTTAAAATGGTGCTGATGTTCCACCTCCAGACCTCCTCCCCCCTATTGCCACATGTCCTTCCCTAAAGCTGGGAGCACAGAGACCCCCATACTCGAAGTAGCTGGGTCCCTCTCCTGTTGCTTTTTAAAGGCCGGGGTTCTGGGCTTTGGGTTCCAGAAGAGGAAGGGGTTGGGACCAAGAAAGATGGGACCAAGGCTGCGGCCGCCTGCCGGCCAGAGCTGGAGCCTCTGAGGCTCCCCAACTCCATGGCCTCTCTGTCTGTTTTCACTCCCCAGGTACCCCCAAGGGCAGCGGAGGCACAGGGCCTGCGAGCTCTGAACGCACGCCTTTCCTCTCTCCTTCGCACCCGGACTTTAAAGAAGAGAAAGAGAGGCTACTGCCCACGGGCTCGCCATCTCCGGGGCCAGAGCGGCCGCGGGACGGCGGCGCGGAGCGGCAGGCGGGCGCAGCCAAGAAGAAGACGCGCACGGTCTTCTCTCGCAGTCAGGTGTACCAGCTCGAGTCCACCTTCGACATGAAGCGCTACCTGAGCAGCTCGGAGCGTGCCTGCCTCGCCTCCAGCCTGCAGCTCACTGAGACCCAGGTGAAGACTTGGTTCCAGAACCGCCGCAACAAGTGGAAGCGGCAGCTCTCCGCCGAGCTGGAGGCGGCCAACATGGCGCACGCATCGGCGCAGACTCTAGTGGGAATGCCGCTTGTGTTCCGGGACAGCTCACTGCTGCGCGTGCCGGTACCGCGCTCCCTCGCCTTCCCGGCGCCGCTCTATTACCCGGGCAGCAACCTCTCGGCCTTACCTCTCTACAACCTCTACAACAAGCTCGACTACTGACCCGCCCGCCGGCCCCGCGCCGCCCGGCACTCCTCCCCGCGGCCCGGGAGCCTGGCGCGGGCTGCCCCACTCCCAGCGCTCCGGAGCGCGGCGGCGTGTTGCCAGAAATATTAAGAAATACACCATGTGTATTCATTATCTCTTATTTATGGCCTCTGCCCTACTTTTTGTTTTGATTGTTTTGGGCACTTATCGGCATTCCTCAAGCCAGATCTCCAGCTTTCTACCCAAAACAACCAGTATGCTTTGAAAACCACTTTGGAGGGGATATTCTCGGGTGGTAGTGGGAAAGGGAGTTTCGACCAGATGGACGTTAATTGGTAGGTAAAAAAATCAGAAAAACACCAACAAAAACAGTTACAATCCTCTCCCCATATATACACCTGTATATATGTACATGCACACACGGCCGGCCACCCCAGCCCTTGAGGGCTTGCTTTTTGGACAATTATCTTAACGCCTCTTTTCGTTTCCCTTATCCCGAGGATGGGTAGGGGAGAAAGAGAGAGATGTCAGATCTGTAAATATTTTTAAAGAGGAAAAAAATAAAACATTTTAAACATCGTTGCTAACTTTGGTGGCATTTATTGCCCGGCGTGCTGACGCGTGGAAGGTTTTCTCACTTTTGGGTGGAGGGACTTGTGGGTGTGCGTTAGAGGAGGGCTGGCTCTCCCCATGTAGAGGGTGGGGCCAGGGTCAGGGGTTAAAGGTTGGAACGCTGGCGCTGCCTAGGCAGCAAGTGGGTTGGAGCCGCACTCCTTTCCACTCCCTTCCACTCCCTGGAGCCTAGTCTGGGAGCTGGCTGAGGCTCACGCCGGCCGAAACCAGCTCCTGAGCCTGCGCCGAAAAGGACAGAGGCGGGCAGGCAGAAGCGAATGCCTCCCTGGAGCGAGCACCTTCCCAGAGCCTGGATCGCTTCGGGTTTGGCCGCAGCAGGGCGTCGTGTAACGTGGCTCAACCGTTGTTACGAGCCTCTCCGAGGGCGCAGGCCAAGTAGGGCGGCGCTGCCTGGACCAGGTAAAGAGCTCGCTTTGCTCGTCCCGCAGTCAGGCGCGACAGGCTTGCAACCGCGCACAGTTCTTCCGCGGGCGGCACAGTTGTGCGTTCCGCGCCGCGCGAGACCTGGGCGCAGAAAGGCGGCACTTCGGCAGAGGAGGGACCTGAGGCTGGAAACTAGGCAAAGAAAGCGCAAGAGGCAAAGGCGCCTCCCTACACTCTTTTGTTGTTGTTGTTGTTTATAGTTTGCGTAGTACGTGGCTAAATGGCCGGAGCACAGGCAAGCACGTGCCCGCTCGCGCTGAAGGGGACGGTGGTGCGCTGCCTGGGCGCCAATGAACTTCCGCGCCCCAACACCCGAGGTTCGCGCTCCGCCTGGGAGGGAGCGGCACTGACAGAAGAACCGCGCAAGTGTTATGCAAATCCCAGAGTCTAGCAAAGTTAGACCGCAGCCACCTGTTCCTTGTAAAACGTAAGAAAAGGAAGCCTGAGTTTAGAGAAGGCCGAGGGAGGGTTTGGTGTCACGTGGGACGAGCTCCCGGGTCCTCCTGCCTGCGGCCTCGAGCCCCCAGCCCCCAACAGTCAGTGTAAAAGTGCCGGGAGTGCGCAGCGCAGAGGCCGGATTTCATCCTCTCGAAGGGGGAACATTTGTGTGGGGGAACATTTGTGTGGTAGACTTGTCTCTTCGAGCGAAATTATCTGCATTTTGTGAAAGTATGCAAGATATCTGTAAACCGTCCATGTGACCCGCAATATTCTGTTTCAAATGCTTAGTCTGTTGTTCATTTTGAGGCCATATTTTTATCTTCTCACGTTAGATTTCATATAAATCACAATTTATTTCAAGTTGACATCAGAAGAATGTTACCCAAGAATACATCTGTGAATGCTGTTAGTTCAGTTGCATGTATTTCATTTCAACTGAGTTCAATTCAATAAATATTTACTAGGTCCTAGTACTTGCAGAGAGCTATGCTAAATGTTGAATATTCAGAGTGAGAAAATAAAAGTGACACTGGATCCATTTTTTCTGATTTATTTGGTACACATATTTTATTTCGATGAGCTTGTCTCTTTCCAGATGACCCACTTTAAATTCTTCTTTACCTCTAAACTTGCTACTTGCATATTCCATGCAGAAATAACAAATTGCTTTCAAGGAACTACTTGTATAGGAATATTCCACCCATATCATTTTTTGTCTGCATTTCAGTAGATTGTTTTTTCTCAAGAGATCACGGTTTTAAAAGTACTGGGTCACCATATCCTCTTCAGGATGACTTTTCTTACAGGAAGTGATTTCATCTAGCCACTGTAGTCACTTAATGGCAAAATCTTGCCCTTAAGATTTTAGGGATGACCCTTTTCCAGTTTGTCATATCGTGGGTATTTCACTTTTTTTACTAATCCAGAAATTAGCAGTCAAAGGTGATCCAAGAGTGTAGTTTCTAGGAATTCCTCTTCTTACAGGCAACTAAGCATTAAAACACACACACACACACACACACACACACACACACACACACACACACGCATGGCTTTACTTTTGAATGTAAAATGTTGTTCAAGACTCCATTGTGGCCATATTTCCTATCTCAAGACTATCAATTCATTTGAATAATCAGCAAAATAATCAGCCTTCTTTCAGGTTCTAAACTGGATTTAAAAGATTGACGTTTCTTAAAACTCAAATCGAGTCCGGCTGCAACTGCCTGCCTAGAGGGACCTGAATTATACACACACTGGATAATGAAATACACTTAGATTTTATTAGTGGATAATTCATGCTCAGAATCTGGAAACACTAATAGAATTAAATAAACAACTGGGAGAAGGAGCCAAATAAAATTATTTGGAGATAAAATTATTTAACTAAAGTTAGAATGGAGACAAGGCACTGCATTTTAAAATTCTTAACCTCACCATTACCTTGTTGAAAGAGAAGAGACAGAGAACCAAGTATGAGGACTGATGAGACGTGAGGGCAAGAATCTGTTCTTTTAGCAGTGATAACATCAGTACAGTGGAAAGAAGGGTGGTGGTGTGAGTTTATTGTGTCAAGAATTATAAAAAGATATGCACCCAGTTCAGCGTATGTGAATGCAGAAAGACCAAACTTTTCTTCTCTATTAATGTACCTTAGAAGTTAAAACACTTCAACCTCAACAATTTCCTCTCACTTCAAAGTCACATAATAAAATATTTTTTCTCAAAAGACAGTGAAAAAGATTACATCGATTACACTGAAAATTTTCACTGAATTTTTGATATTCAAGAGTAACTGAGTCACAGCATTCTAGTTATAAATTAAGCATTGCTTTTTCTTTCATGGAGACCAAATCATTTCTTATTATGGAAACAACCTTCTTAATTCTCCTATTTGTGGAGAATTCTAGAAACAGAAAATGGAGCAAACTGAGCATGCAACTCTAGGGAGTTGTTGGGGTGTGGGAGGGGTGGACAGGAAGAAGCTTGGAGCTGTCATTTTAGGACCCTATTTAAACATGTGTCTAAAAGAAGCTTTTGAGCTTTAACACATTGCAAATTGTTTTCCAGCCTGTCCACACATCCGGACAGGAAGTTCCTCCAGAGCAAGGACTGGTTTGGTTAATGCATCTTTCTAATCTCTCACCAGGCCTGGCACACACAGTAGGCCCTTAATAAATGTGGAAAGATGGAATTAAGAGATAAAGCCTAGTATAAATAAAGATGAGTTTCTATGAGATCAGCAGGTCTTAAGACAATGGGAAATATGAGACCCTGGTTCCTATGTGGAAACTCCAGGAAAATGAGAAAACTCAGGGCAAAATAATGCAATTAGAGTAAATATGTCCTTCACCGCTCCAACTTTTGGTTAACTTCATAGGCGTACGTATGTCCAGTGACAGAATAATTTAACTCTATAGATGTATTGACCAGAATGGGGTTCTTGTGTATGCGAGATTAACCCAGACCGCGAAGCGCCAAGGGTGGAACTGAAAAAGCATCTTTCCCGCCTACTATTCAGAGGACAGGCAGGGCGTAGGCCTCAGGAAGACTACATTTCCCAGCGTGCTGCACACGGGCAGAGGGCGTGAGCACAATCTTGGCGCGATGCTCCTTGGGAGTTGTAGTTTTCACTCATCTAGTTTGAGCCGGGATGCCTCAGCCATGAGGTAAAGCGAGACCACGTGATCGGAATAGCCGCGGTTTGCCTTTGAGCCGGAAGAGGATGACTGGGTTGACCGACGCGGGCCTTGGAGCGGACCAATCGGAAGCCTAGAGTGAGACGTCGGCGTTTGAAATCAGCCAATGGCAGGCATTCACTGGATCTTCCTCTCTGCCCCTTTCGTCACGCCCGCGAGTGCTCTGAGGAAAGCTAGTCGGCGGCGAGCGTTTGCGAACTTGATTCTGAGGGGAACTCAAGGTAGCGGGGAGAGGCGACTGGGCGCAGAAGCGGGCTCTCCGGGCAGCCAGTCCCCGGTCCGGAGCTGGCGGAACTGTCCGCAGGGAATGCGTTTCACTTCCATCGCTTTTGTTTTAGGAGCATCCGGGGCCGGGGGGAAGGGCCGAGATGGAGGAGCCCGCAGAGGGGAGGGATGCGGCGGGCCAGGCTGAGGGCGGCTGGAGATAGGGGTGCGGAGGGGCGGGCCAGGCGGGTTGGGGCGTCTCAGGGGCGGAGGGGATGGGGGACATAGGGACCGAATCCCTATCTTGGGGGAGAAGGCGAGTCCCGACCATGGCGGGCGCGCAGGCTTTGCGCAGGCGCAGAGACCCCGTCGTCACGTTTTCTAGGTCCTTGCCTGGTGGGGCTCCCACCGCTGCCCGCCGACCCCGCACCCTTGGGGTGGGGGCGGGGGCGGGGTGTCTCTGACTGGGCGCTTGTTCCGTAGATGACCGGTTCTAACGAGTTCAAGCTGAACCAGCCGCCGGAAGACGGCATCTCCTCGGTGAAGTTCAGCCCCAACACCTCTCAGTTCCTGCTGGTGTCGTCCTGGGACACGTCGGTGCGCCTCTACGATGTGCCGGCCAACTCCATGCGGCTCAAGTACCAGCACAGCGGCGCGGTGCTGGACTGCGCCTTCTACGTGGGTGTCCTCGCCGGGGGTCGCGGCGCCCCCCCTCCAGGGCTGGGCAGAGGCTCGGGTCGGTGCAGCTGTTTGGGCAGCTCGTTAACGTTTTCTCGAGCGTTCGCCTTGAGCCTGGGTGCTGGTGGTGGGCGCTGGGGACGCGCAGGCGCCGGAAAAACGCTTGTAATGGAAGAACTCTGCAGCCAGACAGTCAACACGGGCTGTCTTTGTAGCAGGAGGCCTGTGGATTAGTAGGTGGGAATGGCTGTGGACGCTCCAGCCCGTGGGGGGGCCGTTCTTCCGGAACTCCCCGGCCGTCGTTTCTGTGACCGCGGATGGGCTTTATTCTTTTTTGTGTGCTTTGTGTTGTGTTGTTCACAGTGAGGAGTTGAGCCCCGTGTGCACCATCCCGAACGGTTGGCTGTAGAAGCAGGAATTTTGGAACTTTCTAAAACTCGGTTCAGAGTTTCTCAAATGACTTGAACCTTGTATTTTGCAGGATCCCACGCATGCCTGGAGTGGGGGATTAGATCATCAGTTGAAAATGCATGATTTGAACACTGATCAAGGTAACGTGGCCACCTCTCACCAGGTGGTTTTTCTCAGCCCGTGTGCTAGAGCATAAGGGTTTATTTAGGAAGAGTGGTTTCTGAATTGCTTAATTCCTGAGTTTCTTAGATAGCAGCAAAAAATGACTTGTTAGGAATTTTTTGTTTAAATGATAACCGTTAAGTCACTGATCACAAAGCAGCGTGCATGTATTTTTTCAGTAAAGGGAATTCTGGTCTTCATCTCAAGTGTTTACATGAAGGGGCACTTAAGTCTTTGACCTTTCCCTTCTCAGAAGCAGACTGGACTTGGAGTTGGTCTGCTTTTCGTTAGGGTTTCCAGGACAGGGCTAATGTTTCAGAGTTCTCTTCAGAAACCAGTTTAGTGTAGACTGAAGGAAGACGGGTTTTAAGAAAATTTAATATAAAATAGTCAATCGTGCTCAGGCACTATATTAATCCTGTTTGTATCATTATTTAGCATAGAATATGCTTCAGTTGAATGAATAACAAGATGACACATTTTCTTTTAGTTAGTAATTTCTTAGAGGCCCAAACACCCCCAATTATTTTTCAGTTATAGTTGGCATTCAGTATTATTTTATATTAATTGCAGATGTACAGCATGGTAGTTAGACATTTATGCAATTTATGAAGTGATCCCCCGATAAGTCTAGTACCCACCTGGCATTATACATACTTATACATAATATTGTGGACTCTATTCCCTATGGTGTAGTTTACATCCCTTTGACTATTTTTTAACTACTAATTTGTTCTTAATCCCTTCTCCTTTTTCACTCTGTCCCCCAACCCTCCTCCCAACTGGTAACCATCAGTTTGTTATGTGTATTTGTGAGTCTGTTTCTGTTTTTATTTTTTCCCTTTGTTTACTTTGTTCTTTATAGAGTCCACATACAAATGAGATAATGTGGTATTTGTCTCTCTCTGCCATACACCCAAATTTTTATTGTGACTTTGGAGCAGAGCAAAGATTGTAATGGAACCCAAATGCACAGAACTCTAGGGGAGCTGGTTTTTTTTATTATTATTTAAATTTGCATACGTTACACTTAGATGTACTTGAAGGAGATGGTAAGGCACAGAGATGTAACTAGAGAGAATGCGTTGGACACTGGGAGGATGGGTACAATATTTTGTCAAAATAACCCAATCAGAAGAGGCTTTTGCAGAAAAGTCACTTTGTCGTGTCACTTAAAACTGCAGATGTCCAGTTTTGTTTGTTAGCAGCTTAATCTACATAATTTAGCCTGCAGGTTTAGGTCCTACTTGTTCAAAAACTTAGGAGGAAAAAAAAACACTGAAAAGCAAACAAAGATTTTTGATGCTAAAGACCATAGTTAGGGGGATTAGCTGTTTATTTTCTGAAGGTCATTGCTGAACTTCACGAGATACTTTTCTTGTTTAAATAGGTAATGTTCCTGTTTGAGGGTCAAGACCACACATGTTTTTTGCTGTATCCTTAGTATTTGGCATGGATTCTGGCACATAGTAGACATTTAGTAGATGTTAGTTGAATGAATGAATGAGATAGTGAAGAGTTGAAATTAAGACAGAAATTGTTATTGGGAATTTGACCCATGAAAACCAAGCGGATTTATTAATCATAAGACTCCCTGCCTTCCTCATTCCCAGATCTCAGATAATCTTTTTACCATTTAAATACGTTTCTTAAAAGCATTGGCTTAACTTGGTAAGCTTTATCCAGAGCCAGACCAGAGTTATCCACTCATTTGTTCATTCAACAGGCATTGAGTATACCTGCCATGTATCAGAACCTGCACTAGATAGAACTACAGAGTTAAACAAGGTTACTGAGTTAAAGGAATCCAGAATCAAGTGAGGAAAGTAACAGATATGCCATCGTTTGAATGTAACCTGAAATTCAAGTCAGCCTTGGATATGTACTGTGCCAGTGAATCACACTGTGCACTGTACAGTGAACAGAGCAGAAGGGATGACTTGTAGTCAAGGAGAAATTTTTCTGTGTACAGATATTTCTATAGAGTTGGGAGTGGATTCATAATAGTTGAATGCACATTTCTTTCTTTTGTTCACTTGAGGAATCTTTGTTTAGATGTAGTAAAACTAAGTGTTGTTTGTTTGTTTGTTTCCTATAGAAAATCTTGTTGGGACCCATGATGCCCCTATCCGATGTGTTGAATACTGTCCAGAAGTGAATGTGATGGTTACTGGGAGTTGGGATCAGACAGTTAAATTGTGGGATCCCAGAACTCCTTGTAATGCTGGGACCTTCTCTCAGCCTGAAAAGGTAGGCTGTGTTTATGACGGGAATTATGGTCCTTGGGGTGATGTGGTGCATTTCTGATGAATGTGGTGTTGAATATAGAGGTTAAGACTTGACGAGTTAATTTTACAAACCCAAATACCTAGAAATATTTAGATGCAAAGGGAAATTTTGTTCAACTTTTTGCTGTCAGTTGTCAAGTTTGTACTGGTGAGCCACTAGCTTAAAAAATAAATTTTCATGTATTTTTAATGCTTTAAATCCCAGGCCTGAGAAGCAACTCAGTGCTTTTTTTAGAGAAGTCATTTAGGAAAGACTGTTCGATTATGTTAAATTGGGTTTGACCTGCCCAAACCAGAAAGTGGGATGAAGCATCACTCATTCTCACTTACGACCTGAGGTTTCATTTGAGTTTACTGTTAAGAGGGTGAAATGGGTCATTTCAAGTTTAAGGAGAAAGTTGGCTCATATTCCCTGGCTTTTACCATTTATTTATTTATTTATTTATTTTTAATACTGACAGATACAGTTTGAGGGCTCTAGTGAACGCAGCTTCTTAAAACTGAATCTTTGTGTATTCTAACTTTTTGATCTGTACAATGAAAATGTAATTGCATTCTTGCTGTATCCTCATCAGACTTTTAGGTGGTAGTTAATTTTAAAGATGGATTGTTTTAGCAGTTTAAAAGTATCCTTCACTTAAGTCTATTTTCCCAGTGTAAATATACTATTCAGTTCTGTTAGCCATCATTATATACTGTAGTGCATCCAAAGAGCCATTATTTTTGTCACATCACAGTCGAATCTACTCCTGGCAAGACCTTTGTTCAGAATAAAATAATTGCATTGTTTCTAGTTTTGATTTATGGTTGTATGTAACATGTTAAGAGCTGTGATAAATTGCTGACAGAATATCATATAATAGACAGCCACACTGAATCAAGCTGCTTATTGGTTCAGCAAGGTTCATTATGTCACTTTTTTTAATACTTTCTTTGATAAATGTATATACCTAGTCAGTAGCATGACAGTGGTTTCATTTGATTTACGATCAATGGGGATAGAAAGCACTATTAGAAGCTTCTGTGTCACCTGTATAAAGATTTAAGATAAAATTCCCAATCTGATTATACTGATGAATCGATTTCTTTCTAGATTTTGTGTTTTTTAAGTTTGGTGTTTCATGTGTCTTAGGTTAATTTCTGTTTTTCTACAAATATTTTGTTTTCTGAATGAACTGTGGTAAACCTTATATTTTTCTTATTTAAGTATGCCTATATTAAATCTGTTTTGAATCTCTTTAATTCCTTGTTTTTCTCTTGGTCAAAATAGTTGTTGAATTTTAAGGCCAGATTGTGGAGATTATCGGGTGTTACATTGTTAAACCTAACTTGGTTTTATTTGGCTGGTGATATGTAGTTAACACTTAAATTAGTGATTACTAATCATATGGTTTAATTACTGAATGTTGAAGAGATGTCATTACCATGTTATGGAGCCTCTTCATTTTTTTATAATGATTCTTCAGGTTTTAAAATATTAAATCAGATTAGAGTTGCTTATTCATTGAAAGTAGTAATCAGAGCAACAGTTAGGTATCTGAAGTCTAGATTAAAAAAGATTTAACATGATCAAGAAAATACATTTTACACATTTTCTGGAATTTGCTATCTCTATTTAATCTCCGAATAACATATTTGAAAGGAACCACTTTAAAGCTTGCGTGTAGGAATTCTGTGATTTATTATAAAGGAATTTTTTGTGGAAATTGTTTTAATATAGAAGAAAAGGTATTATGAAGGAAAAAATAGATACTTTTATGGGAGACATGCTTTTTAAATTTTCCTCAAGGATGAACTCTATCTTATAGTGCTTTCGCATGACTTCAGGGCATAAGAATTTGCTTTGTCATATGCCAGACCACCATCCTTGTCTTTTAATTTTGGAGTTTGTATGCTACCAAAGCAGCTAATTAATGATGGCTTCCCTCACTCTTCCTGGAAAGGTGGGAAAGTCAAGATTTTTAGTTACAGCATGAAATCTCATTCCAAAAGGTGGTCATAGAAAAATAACCTTGAAAATGATTTTTTTGTGAAAAGCCAGAGACCCCTTGAAAGGTATCTTGAATTGTTTTATGGCTTTATTGTCTCCTTTTTGAGTATTTTTATTCCACTTTTTTATTGCCCCTAACTGAAGCAAGGCTGGAAAAATTGTTCAATAACTTACTTTATTTTGGTAATGAAGAGAATTATGTCTTCAAAAGTGTCTTTACAAAATTAGAATGTATATTATGTGGTACTTGGTTAAGTATTAAGAATATCTTGGGTTTATTATTTTGTGTGAATTATTTGGTTTGTATAACTATAGTACTTGAAATTCGGCACCTATGTTTGAGATCAAACCTGATCAACTAACCTTTTTATGGTTTTATGATTAGTGGACTTTATTTGAGGGCAAAAATGCCATTTTCGGGCAAGTAGATGATTTTTACAAGTTTTGGTCTTTCTTGAAAGGTATATACCCTCTCAGTGTCTGGAGACCGGCTGATTGTGGGCACCGCGGGCCGCAGGGTGCTGGTGTGGGACCTGCGGAACATGGGCTATGTGCAGCAGCGCCGGGAGTCCAGTCTCAAGTACCAGACTCGCTGCATACGGGCCTTTCCAAACAAGCAGGTGTGGCTCCCGCACCCCTGCCCCTACTTTTTGGAATTTGAAATTAATCTGATCTTATATAATCATGATTTTGGTCACTGCCTTTTAAAAACTTTGTCCCCCTCCCCCCCTTTTTTTGAGTAGTGATTTAGAATTTGCTGTTAAGTATGTTTTCAACATCCTTGTGTTAAAAGGTAGTGTGTTAACCCAATTTTAGAGACGCCCTTGATGTTCATAGAGGCTGCGTAATCTGCAGTGGTTTGAGTAGAGGTCTTCTGATTCCTTGTGAATCCTGGTCCAGGATGCTTGACAGACATACAGTAATCAAGGACAGTTTTGCAGATGTGTCAGTTTACAAACCAGTGAATTCAAATTTGAATCTGGAATTTGCGGTCCTCTTTTTTTTTTTAACTCCAGTACTAATACAGTTCTTTAGCCAGTTTAACAGCAGAACTTGGATTGTTTTTTTTTTTTAAAGAATGCCACTGAGGTTAGAGAGGCAGTGCCCTTCACATAATGGCCAACTCTTGATGTACAGGGTAGGTCATCCTTCCATCATCATTGCTAAATGAGCTTACCCTGTTTAATAGTGAGCCCCTTCTCCCAGCAAATGCTTAACATTCGAAGGGGTGGTGTGGTCAGCTGCTATCTAGGAGTTATGCAGGAGGAAAAGTCATGAAAAATAACAGCTATCTTGGAATCTTATGGCTGTCTTTTAGTGATTATGGAGCTTGAAGCAATTATGTCAGTTATTCTCTTGGCCCTTTATCTTTAAAGGCTGGTACCTCAAATGGTGATCACAGTTTTTTTCAGAGTATGGTAAATTTCCATGATAAGGAATTGCAGTTTATTGCAACTTTAGAGATTTAAATACACGATTAAAATATGTTTGCATTTATAAATACTTTATGTCTTATATCTAAAATTTTTTGTCAGAATATATTTCCAATTTATATTGGAAGTTTATAAGATTTTTTTTTTGTTCCGTAAGTAGTTTTTCAGGAATAAATCTTTTTCATACTCTGAAGAATTAAAAAGAAATAAAATATAGATTTCATATTTATCTTATCTCTTTGACATAAGAAAAGCAAGTGATGATAGTCTTTTTTTTTTTTTTAAATTAAACAAGTATTAATGTTCTTAAACTTTTGGAATCGTCATGACTATGTTAGTACAGCTTAAGCACTTGGTTAAAACCTGGCCATGCTTGTTTTTCGTTTTTGAAGTAATTGTCTTTCTTTAGTATGGGTTGAATTTGGAAATTAGTGCCTTATTTTTGGAAGCTGGATTCACCATTTTTGGCCTTCTGGCTCCCTCTTGGCAGGGTTATGTATTAAGCTCTATTGAAGGCCGAGTGGCGGTTGAGTACTTGGACCCAAGCCCTGAGGTTCAGAAGAAGAAGTATGCCTTCAAGTGTCACAGACTAAAAGAAAATAACATTGAGCAGATTTACCCAGTCAATGCGATTTCGTTTCACAACATCCACAACACATTTGCCACAGGTAACGTATGGCATGCTAACCTGTATCTAATCATTAAGATAGCACCATTTTGCTGTTGAACACTAATCATTCATTCTTAGGCAGATTGTTTTTTTTTAATTGTGCTTGCTTTTTATGGTACTTACGGAGGAAAAAATCTGGTACAGTACACCTCAGGAAAAGTTAACTTCTGTGACCTTAAAAATGAACTGTTAGTTAATGGTTTTTTGTATCTGTTTTTAAGAACCACTTTAACTCTCTCAAAATTACTTGCAGGTGGTTCTGATGGATTTGTAAATATTTGGGATCCATTTAACAAAAAGCGATTGTGCCAGTTCCATCGGTACCCCACCAGTATCGCATCACTTGCCTTCAGTAACGATGGGACTACACTTGCAATAGCATCATCATATATGTATGAAATGGATGACACGGAACATCCTGAAGATGGTATCTTCATTCGCCAAGTGACAGATGCAGAAACAAAACCCAAGTGAGTATGCTTCACCTGTATTTGAGCCTTTTCTTGCATTCAACCCAGGATTTATTAATTTTTCTAAATTCATGAATAGCATTGTTGATGCCTGCTCGATATTACAGCTGACTGTAGGGTTGGAGTTGATTTTATCTTGTTCTCCCAAGCTTTCAATATCCGTAGGTTGATAGACGTCTGATGGATAAAATTGTGCCTAGTTGTTTTGTAGAGAAGAATGTCAAACTCTCATTCTTCTTGAATAGGCACTATTATTTGAATCTCTGGAGTTATTACTAGCTCATGACTTCGAAATTAAGTTGAGGAATTCAAGAATAATTTATTTAAGCAAATTCTATTTAAGATATTTAAGAATTTGAACTTCCAAAAATCTTTCCTCTCCACAGAGGTTGTTTCTTTAATATTTACACAAAGTGAATGACCTTCAGGTCTTATTGGGAACCCAGAGCAATATGGCCTTGCCTGGAATAGCAAATTTCCTTAGTTTTGAAATTTTTGTAGATGTTCTTGGCTCTTGGTGTTAACTATTGACAGAGAGGAACCATTTACATTTTTTGGTACCAACAGGGCAAAGCTCTTAATTACCTGTACCAGGCTTAAAGGAAAATGGATAGACACTTGTTAAACCATAAACATACCCACCTCAGCTGTCTTGTCTTGTTCCTTGTCCTCCTCTACCCAGGCCCTGGCAGGAAGTCCTCAATAAATATTTATGGAATAACTGAATGTTTTGAGGAATGCCATATTTTTCTGAATTAAAATGGTATAGCACCCTTGCTGAATTGATTGAATCCCTGAGAGAGGGCAGTATAGTAAATACTAAATATCATGTATACTTTCATAGGTTTGACTTTAGAAAAGACTAAGCATGTGAAGCCTGTTGGATAAAGAGCTGTGTTTGCATTTACTCTCTCACTTTTGTATCTCTTGTCCTGGCTGGCCATTTTGATCTCATGCTGTTCTTTTTTTCTTTTGAACTTGTAGGTCACCATGTACTTGACAAGGTTTCATTTACTTAAATGCCATGTTGATAATAAAAGAATTTGTACTCCTTAATGATGGATTTATTACTATTAACAAAGAAACCAGGGGAAATATTTTAGTATTGTAAGAATCTGAAAATAATGGAAAAGAGGTGTTTACTTATTTTTTTGTTTTGTTTTAAACGAACACTTGATGGTTTGCTTCATTAAAGCTATTCGGGCAAACAAAACTGGAGGGAAGTGACTGCACTTTTGAGAACCAGTTTTGACCTTGATGATTTTGTTTTCCATTGTGGAAATAAATGTTTGTAAATAAATATAGGTAATAAAATCCCTTTGCATTTTTTCTGGACCTTAAATGGTAGAGCAAAAGACTCTTGAACCATTTGTTTCTTTTGCTGGTTATAGTTGCTCATTCTAAAGCTGCTTCAGACTGCCTCATGAGGAGGTTAATCTACAATTAAACAATATTTCCTCTTGGCCTTCCATTATTTTCTGAAGCAGATGGTTCATCATTTCCTGGGCTGTTAAACAAAGCGAGGTTAAGGTTAGACTCTTGGGAATCAGCTAGTTTTCAATCTTATTAGGGTGCAGAAGGAAAACTAATAAGAAAACCTCCTAACATCATTTTGGGACTGTAAACAATTATTTATTAGCAAACAATTGATCCCAGAAGGGCAAATTGTTTGAGTCAGTAATGAACTGAGAAAAGACAGAGCATATCTGTGTATTTGGAAAAATAATTGTAACGTAATTGCAGTACATTTAGACAGGCATCTATTTGGACCTGTTTCTATCTCTAAATGAATTTTTGGAAACATTAATGAGGTTTACATATTTCTCTGACATTTATATAGTTCTCATGTCCATTTCAGTTGCCCAGCCGCTGGTGATTAAGGTTAAAAAGAAAAAAATTACAGTGAGAATGAGATTCATTTCAATGCAGTGCCTGAAGCAGAACACGAACTTAGCTTGGCTTATTCTAGGTGGTTCCAAATAGTATTTTTATTGTCATACTTCTTGTTTTACTTATATGCAAATGTATGTTTCTGAATGGTACTTGGACCTTTACTGAAATTTATTTTATCTATGATGTATTTTTCAAAAATTCTTTTGATACAGAGAAAAGTCTTATTTTTATTAAAAATTTTGTGAGAACTTAGTGTAAGTCTGAACCCATCTGTTTTCTTCATTGCAGGTCCACCTAATCGCCTCATGAAAGTGGTTTCTCTACGGAAAGCTTTGTTTTTTTCCTTCCTACAAATTCGTGCTTTTCCCCTAAGGGATGTGTTAGAGTCGTTGTGGACGTTACTTAGTATGTGGATTTCTCTGTTTTCTGTCTGACAAAAAAAACTTGCCTGCCACCTTTCGTGCTGACTTTGTGTAGGATGGAGTCTGGTGTCCTTGTGCAGTAGTCAGAAGAATTGTTTTTCTCCTGCAAGCACAGTTGCTGTTTCTGAGCAGTTTGATCCCTTTTTGTAAAATAATCCAAACCTGTTATTTTCATGCTGTCTAATAAATCAGAGATTCAGGACACTTAAATGTTGGTAATTAATGTAATTTACTTTGTGAAAAGGCTTCTGCAGAGCGGAGCTCCCTTCATCAGGGGCCTGGTGGGGATGACATTTTACCTTTAGGTCCACGCTGCCTTGTTTCATTATGTCTATTCTGATGTACATTGGGATTCAGTCCTGGATAAAGTGATCTGTTGGAGTTCTGCCATTTCCCTCGTGCTCTCTTGCTGAATCAGCAGGACCCTTGAACCAGCGGTGCAGCTTTATAGGATGGGCGCAGACTGTGGGTGCCCTTTGGCATGATTCGCTCCCCGCAGTGCTGGTGCAGTAGGTCTCACATAGCCCGTGCTTCCCTGTGCTGTGGCAGCCATGGTGCGCACACAGAACCGAATGACAGGCCTATCTGTACTTATCCATTAAATGCTCAATCTCAGTGAAGCCCTTAGGATGGTGAATACTGTAATAGCCAGGGACTAACTGATGGTATTGGTTTTCTAGTGTGATTATGTGCCTTTTAAAGTCATAACCACTTGGTTGAGGACAGAACGTAAATTTGAAATGATTAACTGAAAGAATTAATATGGTGTCATAAAAGGTGACTAAATTAAAGCAACGTTAGGGACCTGTTTTTGAGCTTGTGGTGTGGGAGAGCTTTTTTTCGTAGTTACACCTGGATGTCCTCTTGTCTCTTAAAACCAAATGTGTCTTACCCTAAATATGAGGTGTAATCAAAACACATGGTGAATGTTTAAATAAAAAAAAAAATTTTATTACAGTAAAAGACAACATTGCCATTAATCCCCCTCACTTTGAACACACTTATCCCATTGTTCCTGCCACTTTCTGAAGCAGTTCTGAAAGTCCTCTTTCATGAGTGTCTTCAGTTGTGCTGTCATGGCTGTCTTGATGTCCTGAATCGATTCAAAACGTTGACCTTTCATGGTTATTTTGACTTCGGGGAAGAGCCAGAAGTCATGGTGCCAGATCCAGTGAATAAGGTGGATGAGGACACACCGTAATGTTTTTATTTGACAGAAATTGCTGTACCAGAAGCGATGTGTGACAGGGAGCCTTTCCGTGTGATCACAAAATACGGTGAATTCTGCTGCCAAGTGCCATCCAACGGAAAGGCCGGGATCTTCTACGGGAAGTGGCGCATCCAACCTTAGTAACTGTGACAAGTTTCAACCTGTTCGGTGCAGTCAGTCAGGTGTGAGTTACAGTTGAGAGAAAGTGTGTTTTAAAATGTGTGTAAATCATCCTCCATCGGGACAATGCTCCGTGTCACACATGGCTTCTGGTATATGGCAATTTCTGTCAAAAACATTACGGTGTGTCCTCATCTGCCTTATTCACCAGATCTGGCTCTTCCCCAAAGTCAAAATGATTCAGGACATTGAAGCAGCCATGGTGGTGCAACTAAAGACATGAAAGAGGACTTCCAGAGCTACTTCAGAAAGTGGCAAGAATGCGGCGATAAGTGTGTTTGAAGCGAGGGGGAGTATTCTGAGGGGGCTTAACGGCAGTGTGTCTTACTGTAATAAATTTGATTTAAACATTCACCATATTGTTTGATCACACCCCGTGCCTCCTTGCCTCCCTTGCAGACCTCTTGAGCAGCTTTCCTTCACAGTGTGTCTGTTTATGGTTGTAGCCACCTTTGCCCTAATGACCCAGGTGTAATGTCTTTTCGTTTTTATTGGTTTCCTGTATCCAGATTTTCTTCCCTTTTTATGTATTTCTTCAGTTTATCTTTCTTTTCTTTCTACTGCTGCTATCCCACCGCCTTCCATGCTCCCCCACCCACCGGGGCCGTGTGGCAGCCTCCAGTCTGCCCTAAGGCCTCTTGTCTTCTGTAGCAGTGACTTGCAAACGTTTTAGCTATGAGCCAAGTATGAAATAATATGAACTACCGCCTAGAACACACAGGTCAATGCAGTATGTGTAACAGAAAAGTTTTATAAAACATTACTTGTCTTTTGTACATGTGATGCATCCGTTTGCCTTTTTCTTTTTAAAAAGAAATGCTGATTATGGCCCCCCGAACTGATTTTATAACAAATGCCTTGGCATTTGAACAAACTGCTTTATACCACACGAGACTAAAAAAGAAACTCTTGCTCTTCTTACCATGCTGTGCTTGGGCCCCCCAGTGTCCACCTTTGCTGATTGATAGTAGCCCTTTAGTCAGGTCTTAAGAAGGTAAGCTGCTTCTGAGGGCTGCAGATCACCAGGAAGGGACTGCTGTCTGTCAAATTGCTCTCAGAAGAATGGGGGTGGGACTGACCTTGGCTGGGAATTATAACAGTTGGACGAGTATCTCCTAGTAGCAGCAGTATGAGATTGGCTTCCTTCCACTGGGTAGAAACTTATAGCCCTGTTAGCAGTCTCTCCTTTGCTCTGGGGGAATCCAAGCCCTGTTAGAAGGTCAAGGCCAGACTGCCCGGTTTACCTTACCATTCAAGCCCTGCAATGTTTTGCCTTGGTTATTTGTTCAATTGTTTCCTAGCGTTTTGCTATGCACTTAGACCTTTTCAGTGGCAAAGGATTCTGGTCAGATAAAGCTAGATCTCAGTGGGAGGAGACTGCACATTTTTGGATGTGCACGCCTTGCTCCCCACTACACTGTCAAGAGCAGGGACCACATCGTTGGTCTACTCCCATGCAGGAACGCTGGGCTACTTTGATGTTACTCAATGGCAGAGACAGTTCCTTTTTCAAAATAATTTTCAATGTCGGTGCACTGGACCTTTGTTAATTCATTCTGCAAGCATTTAATAACTCACAGAAGTAATATGTTCATTGTAGAAAAATTTAGATAATAGCATGCAAAAAAGGAATTACATCATCACACATTTCGACAGTAGGAGGTAACATTTTGGTGTATATCCATCCTTCAGAATTTTCTGTGCATATTTCTCCATGAATAAAAGTTCTTTAACCACATCATGTGAAAATGAGTGGGTGAAGATTTGAAGATTTTATTTGAGGTGGTGTGTGGCACAGGCCATGTGGCTTCATAACCTTGACTTTGGAGGGCGGGGAGCCTCGTAGGTGTACTTTGGAGTAATGGGTGGCTGGTCACCCCCTATAGCTCCTGAAACCTGGATACAAGAGATCCTGTGATAGTGGCTAAGAGGAGTCTGGCCCTGGGGAGTTCAGTGACGGGGACTTCACATTTGGACCTCCAGTGTCACATGGGCAAGTACTCCAGATGGCTGGCGACAGTTTGTAAAGGAGCTGCTTCTCATTGAGGCTGGGCTCTTACTCTTCCTGCTGTTCCCGGGAGAGGCAGCAGGTGCCCACTTCCCTATGGCTAAGATGCTGCTAAGCAGCACTGGGAGGCCAGTTAGTATATATCATTTTATAAACTTGGGTCGTATATAAGAATCCTGCTTTGTATACATAATGTGTTAGGAAAATTCTCCCACAATTTATTTTTTGCCTTATTTTTAATAGCTACCTGGTATTTGACTATTTGAACAAATATTTAGTGTCTGCTGAATGCTCAGCACTGCTAGGTGCTGGGGCTCGAATGCTGAGTAGAATCAAGTCCCTCCCCTCACTGGTTTCCAGTCGGGCAGGGAGTGTGGCAGGGAGTGATGACCATACCGACAATTACAACAGTGACAAATGCTGCCATAGCGTGACCTTTGGCTTTCACATGCTTGGCTGGCTTGTGGTCGTCACTTCCACTAGCCAGTCAGCGAAGAGGACAGTTAACGTTTGGTGATTGTTCTTATATTTAAGCTGACATAACTGGTTAATGCAGGTGTGATGACAACCTGTGTGCCCGGAAAAGCAGTGTGACAGAAAGCCCCTGTTTGAGAACATTGTGGTAGTACCTTACAGAGGAATGAGTCTGGCAAGACCCTGTGAAGGGCTCCCTCACCTGTGTGGTCCGTCACTGGAAATGCATGTGCTCGTTTATCAGGTAGGGCAGCATGGTGAGTTCAGCCTTTGAACATGGCTTTGAATCCCAACTGCTCCTTAATTCATTGTGTCACTGGCCAGGTTGCTTTCTGAGCCTCAGTTTCCTTATCTGTAAAATAAGGATACTGCCTAACTCCTGGAGTTAAAAATGAGTATAGGGAGTGTTCATTAGGGTGTGCCAGACAGTCAGTGAAGAGCAAAGCCTTCCTCTGTTTGGATGAGAAATAATCCATTGCTCCCTGTTACTAGCTGACTTTTCAGGTTGTGGTTCTCAGATATCCATGGGATTCCTGGTTTTTAAATTTGCCAGTATATTTGTCTTTTAAAAAACATGTATGAACTTTCAAACATTCAGAAAATCTCAAAGAATCACACCCATAATCCCACCATCCAGATTTTAAAATGTTAATATTTTGCTGTATTCATCTGTTTTAAAATAAAACTGCACATACTTGAAGCTTCAGTTGTACCCCTCTCACCCCATTCCCATTTTCCATTAAGTGTTGTGCTCATTTATGCCCTTATGCTCATGTGGTATCCATATTATAAGAAATTTGCATAAATGGTGTATTTCTATCCTGGAATGAACCCCTGATTCAACATCAAGTGTGGTTAAGATGTAGAAAAAGGGACAAAGCTATGGACAGCATCATTTGTAGAGAAACAGCTAAGCAGCCCCAGGGTTGTACAGTGGAGTGGCTGAGCTGAGCGCCCCACTTTCTCGAACTATGATCAGCCATCATTACAAAAGGAGGGGCAGTGGTTCTCTGACGTGTTGTCTTCAAGGGTGAAAACTGCATAATCTAACAGAACTTGTTCTTTCCCCTAAGGAAACGTGAGTGTGTTAATAGTACCCAATAGATTAGGTGTGTGAAAAATAAAACATCCCGTTTGTCATCCAGGAAGCAAGCCGTAACTCCAGTTTCATGGTTCTCCCCTTGGACTTCCCCACCTCAGTTTTGGAAATGTCTCTGGGTCCTCTTGCTCTTGGGAAGGTACTGATTTAAGCCATTAGGACTAGTTATAGCAGTTTCCTTTAAAAATGGCACCTGGTTCTGTTGCTGTGGAACTAACAGTAAGAAATGAACGTGACCG